GGAGCATCTGTATGGGGAGGGAAAAGGCTTGGGAGGGCTGTCAGGGCAGAGGAGGAGGGGTTGGATATATGGTTGGGAACCAGGGGAGTCTGCCTATGTGGTTTTTATTCATCTGCCCAAGGAGGGTCTCTCACTGTGTCTTTGCTGCAGGTGCAGTACAGAGTTCTGCCCTGGGTAACGTTGGCCACATGAAGCCTCAGCTCAGTGTCAGTGACCCGTGTGGCCAGGTAATCTGCTCCTGGAAGGGATATTTTCTCCTTATCTCCAGGATTCCGTAGAGTGGCCAGCATCTGTAATTGCCCCTGGAGATCCTGCTGGTACCAGCTCATCCAAGGGTACTGGGAATTCCTCAGGATGCAGCGCAGGGTCTTAGCCCGTCCACGTGGTACCAGAACCCACTGGGGCCTTTGCTCCACCAGGCTTGCCGTGATGTCTGAAATACACAGGCAGGCAGGGCTGGTCACACCCAGGAATAACTAATTGAGCTGAGTCCTGAAGAGGGGACAGAGGGATACTTCCTCAGCGTGAGGGGCTGTGCCTGGGAGGTCTGTGGCAAGGCTGGGTTTAGGAGCAATTTCTGAGCCTATGGCACTCCAGGGACAGGGTCCCTCCTTCTCTCCCTCATCCCACCAAGCGGCCTGCTCAGCTTGCCTTCTGACCTGTACTCACTGCGACCATGAGCACCCAGCCGTCTGAGCCTATGGCACTCCAGGGACAGGGTCCCTCCTTCTCTCCCTCATCCCACCAAGCGGCTTGCTCTGCTTGCCTTCTGACCTGTACTCACTGCGACCATGAGCACCCAGCCGAACAGAATGGGAAATAGCCCCATCCCCTGGCCCCTCAGAGGCTGTCTCCAGCAGGGCTGGCCAGGCGGGAGAGCAGGACACCAGCCTACAAGGCAGCAATCAGTGACTGACAATCTATGGGCCTGAAGCTCCAAAGGGCGTGGCTTTACCAGGAAACAGAATATCTGGTCTCATCTTTTTCCTGAAGTTCGAACCTCAAACTGAAGAGCACTTTCCTGCTTCCTGAGCACCAATGTGTCCTCAAACGCGTGTCCCACACCCCGCATTCACTGAGTACCTTAGAGACAAAACTTGGCCCTGCACCCTCTTGACTGCGTCCAGACATTCCTAGATCAGAGTTCTGAATCTGTGCCTCACATCTTTGCGAGGGATTAAAGCATCTCAGTGCAACCATACAAGGCCCACAGAATTGAACAAAGACATCTCTCATCCACACACTTGGCAGGTACACAGAGGGGCCACAGGGCAACACTGGGCAGTAGGACAACTGACACTCATCTCCAATTACCCGTGATTGACTGTGTGAGGGCAAACGCAAATAAAAGTAAGAGGAGGCTAATTCTCCTTGTGGAGAATAAGAGAAGAGACTCCCCTACCACATTCATTTTCTAACAGCATTTACTTTAGATAATTTGCAATCCTAAATTCTTTCTTTATCTCTTTAAAATGTATGTAAATCTTTTCTAAAGCTAAATAAGCCTCTCGCTAGCCTTATGATCCTGCAATGTCTTCCTCAAGGACCTTCCAACCATTTCTTTGAAATGTTGTCATCAAGAAAGACAGTGCTCCTACCTCCCAATTTCTAAGGGAGAGTAGAAGCCAACCTAGAACCCTAACTCAGCTTGGGTAAGAGCCTAATTTAGGGGTCTAACTTAACTTAAAGTGGATGCCTTGCACCAAGTTGCAAAACTACCTCCTATTATGAAGATAAGGGAGGTTTATTTTTTCTTTGGGTAAAGTTAATTAGCAAACACAAATGACTACCCCAATTCCCAGGTGAATCCAGGATGAACTCTGTGACAAATGGTGCTGTCAAGTCCCCTAACTTGAAGACTAGCTATTGTTTATCTTCAGAACTGGTAAGTAACAGGTTGTGTCTGCTTGGCTGTGTAACAGTGAGATTTCTTCCTGTCTTTGCAATCTCTTAGTGGATTGACTTTGATATGCATCACATTCTGGTTTAATGTTTATTCAATAATAAAACTATTTTTTTCTTCTACCTGTATAGGGAGGTTTTCTGGGTTGAGAGACTTTTTCTCCTTTATTTTTAATAATATTCACTTTTTATTAAATATATTTATTTATATTTAGTTTATATTAATTTACATATGATTACATATTATTTAATTATTTTAATTATGCATTTAATTATTTTTTCCCAGCAACTCATAGTGCTGCCCCTACCCAATAGTGTGACCTTGGGTCTCAGTTCCTTCATCTGTAAGATGGAAATAACAACAAGAACTATTTTATAGACATAAATGGATCCTACAAAAGTTCTTAGAATAGAGCTTGGCACAGACTAAGCACTCAAAAAAGCTGACTTTTATTATTGCAGTGATAAATTTTAAATTCAATTAAAATATGGATTAGCAGTAACTTTTGTCTTTAATCACCTGTTACTTAGTAATTAACTGAGATTAAAAGCACAAGTTTTCATAACTTTTTAACATTAGCAAGAGGCCTTGCTTTTCAGAACTTTGGAAAGCAATAATCTGGGAAATTAGATTTAAAAGGCCCTGTGTCTACTATCTCTCCAACCTCAGCATTTTACAGAAAACAATATGGAGACGCAGAGGGGTATTGCAACTGAACTTTACTATTTCAAGACCGAGGACTGAACTGTGTTCAAACCAGTGCTCCGAGTGGGGTGTCTGCCGCATCGCAGACTCTTGAAAAATGAAGAAGGGAACTGGAGCAGGGCCAGACCCAGACCCATCTCTCTGAAGAGTCCCCACGTCAGGGAGCAGCAACAGCCTGGCCTCCTAGCGATGGAAGCCAGATGAGGGGCCAGGAGCAGCAATTCCTTGAGGCTGCAGTCGCTTGCTCTTCCTTGAGCACCCTGCCTCCTCCCTGAGGACAGATGGCAGGATAAGGGATCCTGGGCCCATCTCCAGTTACAGAGCTGGCTGTCCTGGCTCTCTACTACTCCCCTCCCTCAGCCTTAATCCTGAAATGAGATTGGGATCAGAGTGTCTCCACACCCCTGTTATCTCCCTCCCTGGCATTCCTGTTCCCCAAGGTCAGTGCCTCCCCAGGCTCTGCCTTCCCCTACTCCCCTCCCTCAGCCTTAATCCTGAAATGAGATTGGGATCAGAGTGTCTCCACACCCCTTTTATCTCCCTCCCTGGCATTCCTGTTCCCCAAGGTCAGTGCCTCCCCAGGCTCTGCCTTCCCTTCTTGTCTTGGGCAGCTCACCATCTTGGCCAAGGTAAACCTCTTGTTTCCAGACAGTGCCTAACTCCCTACCTTCTCTGCCAGGCCCAGAGTTGGGGGGCATGGCTGCTCCCTTGGGACAGTTGTTTTCTCTCCCCCCCCCCCCAATGATTACTCAAATGCTCACAGCAGCAACACACAACCTTAGCTGGATCCTTACCAGCTTTCTGGAGCTCTGTAGGAAGAACAAAGCCTGTGCATGCATTGCATGAAGTCATAGCAGATGCTCCAGCATTTATCCAGCCCCATTTGAGCTGAATTCCTGTGCAGAGACGTGTGTTCCAGTGTGTGTTCCCCTGGAACACATCCTCTCCATTGCCTAAAGGAGGACAAACAACTGGGAGTCAGATGGGGTGATTTCCACTCCAGATCAGCTGTGCCAGTCACTAGGAGGGAATAACTCTGTTAGAATGAGACTTTGGGGGCCGGCCCGGTGGCGCACTGCTACAGTGCGCCGCTTGGGAAGCGCAGCGGCGCTCCCGCCGAGGGTTCGGATCCCACATACAGACCGGCCGCTCACTGGCTGAGCGAGGTGCGGGAGCAATGCCAAGGGTTGCGATCCCGTTGCCGGTCCTGGTCCGGTATGGGCGCAACACTGAGGGTTGCGATCCATTGCCAGTCACGAAAAAAGACAAAAAGGAAAAAAAAAAAAAGAATGAGACTTCGGTCTCTTCTCTAAGAAGCCATTAGCCAATGACACCAACTCCCTGCCCCATGGCAAGCCTTGGTAGACACGCACAGCAGGGGTCTGGTGCCTTGTGGTGTCTGTGCTAAGGAAATAATGGAAGGATCCCCAGCCTGAGCAGGACCCTGTGTTCTTGTGTCAACTCCACCACTGACTCGGCGGGTGACCAAGCACTATTCATGTTGCCCCTTAGTGCTCCCACTTCCTCATCTAAAAATTAAGCAGACTGGAATTTTTGGAAATTAAGTGCATCTAAAGTTCCTTTCTACTCTGGTATTTTAATATTCTAATATTCCTTCTGTGCTTTTATTGTTTGCTAATACCCATGTGCTTGTAAGCAGGGAGTTGAGCTAAGCCTCCAGTGAGGAGTCACAAAACATGATTCCTCTGAAAGGCAACTCATGGGAGAAAAGGTAAAGCACAAAGCATCCCAAAGGCACATGCATGGTTCTCACTTCCCCTCTTCTGCCCCTCACCTCCTTTCCTTCTTGCTTCTCTCCAGGAATGGGCAGAAATTCAAAGCTGCTCTGGACTTACCTATCTGGAAAGCTGATTATGGCTGCTTCACCCCTAAGTGTCCTTCCTGGGATTAGTGGGAGATGGAAATCATAGTCTTCCCCCAATCTCCCCCTCCGCCCCCAACTTCTCTCCTTCCTCCATTGTGCTGGAGGCTGAAAGGCTAGGTTTACATGCAGTCCCATCCCCCTGCTAGTGCCTCAGTTCTGTATGTGAACAAAATGGAAAATGCCTGTAAAAGCTGGAGTAGTGGTGTTAATTCTGCAGGGTTTCCATTGGCAGGATGCTGGCATGGGGGTGGGTGGAAAGTCTGAATGATTTATTCCTGAGAATTTCAGGCCTGGCCCCTGTTCCAGAGTAAGAGCACCCTCTCCGGGCATTTCTCACCTCCAGAGTTATGTAAGTGGCACCACTCTGTACCCAGAGGATAATCAGCTCAGAAAAGCCCCAGCCTGTCCCTCCCCCATGGCATAGTGCTGGGCACAGGCAAAGGCCCATATAAGCCCAGAGCTCTTGAGTGTCTGTATGCAGGAGAGGTGCTCCAGGCCCCAGGAGCCATGACCTGTGCCCTTCTCTTCAGTCTTTTCCTACTTCTGGTCCTGGAAGCCCCCTCCCAAAGCAACCACCTTGGCCCCACATCTCGTCTGCGTTATTCCAGGTTCCTAGATTCTTCCAATGTCATCTTCCTACGCTGGGACTTTGACCTTGAAGCTGAGATCATCACTTTTGAGCTCCAGGTCCGGACAACTGGCTGGGTGGGCTTGGGTGTCACAAATCGCTACACCAACGTGGGAGGTGATCTGGTTGTTGGAGGAGTCTTGCCTGATGGCAATGTCTATTTCTCGGTAAGTCTGAGGGTGACTCCCTTCCAAGGACGAGGGTCTTTGTTGGGTTGAGGATGGCTTTATGTCCAGAAAAGACTCAAACATATTCAAACACACTCCCAGAACTCCAGCAGAATGCTGATCTCTCTCTCCAGAAATGGTCCATTGCAGTTTGCAATCTAAGTCTTCCAGACTACAGACCTCCAAGGCTGCTGAGAGGATGGAACCATTAGACTTTGAGAGACAGTCTTGCATCACTTACTTGATCATAGCCCACTAAATGCAGGTCACTGAGGAAGATTTAAAACTATTTGAGACACAGTCCCTGTCCTCAGTTTCCTTTAAGCTCAAGCAGATAGACTACAGCATGAAAATAGCCCAACAACGACAGCAGCAGCAATAGCTTAAAATTGTTATACACTTTGGTTAACCAGGCGTTGTTTCAAATTGTTTGCATTTTAAGCCTTATTAGCATCACTATGAGGTAGATTATTATTACTATCCCCATTTTGCAGGGAAAAAAAGTAGCTCACCCATCTCCCAATCTCACCAGTTCAGAATTCCTAATCGTTATTCTGAAAGGCACTTATGTGGGGAAGTGTCATTTAACAGTACAAGGTAATGTATGTTAAGAGCCACATAAGAGAGAATGAGTGGCACAGACAGTTCAGAGAATACATGAGCTTTCAAGGGTTAGGGACACAGGAAAATTAGAATTTATGGAGATGAGATTTGAAGTGGGAGAAGTAAAGCAAGGTCAGGTGGTGAAACTCCATCAGACATGGTCCATCCTCTTTCCCGGGAAGCCACCCCTGGTGTCATGCTGTGTCCTAGGAGGAAACTACATAATTAAGAAGACCTGGGTTCTGCCACTTAAGTATACTGGGGGAGCTAAAGGGACATCTACTGCCCCAAAGCACGACCACTTGGGGCTGCAGGTTCTTACTCCTTGACCTTCTCTGGACCCCAGGATCAGCACCTAGTGGATGAAGACACTCTGGGGGAGGATGGGAGCCAGGATGCTGAGCTGCAGGGGCTAACGGAAGATGCCGTCTACACCACCATGCGCTTTTCCAGGCCCTTCCGCTCCTGCGACTCTCATGACCAAGACATTACGGTAAAATAGGGAGGGGTCAAAAGCATTTAATCACAAGCAGCTTTTCCTTCTGGGAAGGTGTAGTCACCCCCAATCAGGCAGCCAGTCACAGTTCCTAGGACTTCTGTCTCTCTCAGTCTTCCTGGGTACTGCCCCAATTCTGCCACCTCTTGACATCCACAGTGAGACTTCCCGCTGATTCGGTGCCCACCATCCCCTCCCCAGTGCTCCCCTCTTGAAGAACCCTGCCCAGTTTCATTGAGTTTTAGAGTGTTCAGATTTAAGAGTTTAGTACAACCCTTTCATTTTACAGATGTGGACACAGGCATAGAGAGGGAAAGTGAGAGGGAGTGTCCTTGTTTAACATTGCTAGCAAGTGAACCTCAAAGCAGAACTAGAACCTGGCTAGTTCTCTCTCGGAAGCTCTTTTCATTCCACCATGTAGACGTGAGCAAGTGGCTCGTGTAGGTCCTTGGGTGCAGGTAGGTGTGAAGTGCTGCTCGTGGGTAGCAGCACCTCAATGTCCTCGGCACCCCCAGAGTGACACTGTGAGGGTGCTGGCCGCCTATGGCCTGGATGACACTCCGAAGCTGGATCGGGAGCGCACTTTTGTCAAATCCATCTTCTTGCTACAAATCGTCCACCCTGATGATTTGGATGTCCCCGAGGACACCATCATCCATGACTTGGAGATCACTGATGTAAGACCCCCTTGGGCCCACCCAGCCACCTGGGGCTCCCTTCCCATAGTCCCACACAATCCAACCCCTCCTCTTGCACCCTATATTCAGTATGTTCCCTGGTTTAAGGTTACTCTGACTCCCCTCCATCCCCTGAGGGCTGCCTATCTGGCCCTAATGTGGACTGCTCTTCCTTGTCCTTTCCCCTGCCTTTTTGGTAGCCTCACCCCCACCCCGCTCAGCTTCTGTGCATCCTTCCCCAGTTCCTCATTCCAGAGGATCACACCACGTACGCCTGCACCTTTCTCCCTCTCCCCATCGTTAGCAAGAAGCATCACATCTACAAGGTACAGGGAACAAGATGGGGGGGTGTTGTCAAGGCAGGTGAGGGCACTCGAGCAGAGCAGTGGGCAGATCAGCTCTGAGATGCTGTTTGGAAGATTGCTGGAAGGACTGGAGGAAGCAATGGGAAAGCAGCTGGGAAAACAGGGGCCAGGCGGGGTGTGGTGGGGGTGCTAGTTACATAATTTCCTAAGCCCAGAACGGTAACTCCCAGCACTATTTTATTTAAGGCCCAAGATGCAACAGACATTTTGAAGATGTTTAGTAATTAACAAGTGCTTGTACAGAACAAAGTATCAGCCCCACCCTGGCCCCAGAACAAGCAGCTGGGAAAACAGGGGCCAGGCGGGGTGTGGTGGGGGTGCTAGTTACATAATTTCCTGAGCCCAGAACGGTAACTCCCAGCACTATTTTATTTAAGGCCCAAGATGCAACAGACATTTTGAAGATGGTTAGTAATTAACAAGTGCTTGTACAGAACAAAGTATCAGCCCCACCCTGGCCCCAGAATTGTGCTCTCTTAGCCCAGGAAGAGATAAAGGCAGGGAGGGGACGTGGCCAAGGACAGTCAGGAGGTCAGTGAAGTCTGGCTACAGTGAACTCAAACTTGGTCACTCAATTTCACATCTGAGTGATTTCAGTCGCAGTCTCGGCTATAGTGGGCTGATTGAGGTTACTAAGGAAAGGCAGAATCTTGGAACGTCCCGGCTGGATTTAGCATGCTGTGCTCTGGGGGAAGAGGTGTAACGGGGCGAGAGTTGACAGAAGAGTCAACCAGCGTGGGCAGGACGATCATGGCTTGGGGAGCCAAATCAGAAAGAGGAATGGAGAAAGTGGGGAAGGGTGTCACCGTTTTATTTGGGGGAAAGGAACGAGGAGAATAAGACATGGAAGGTCTGGGCCGTGGCCTGCTCTCCTTCCCCTGGCCAGTTTGAGCCCAGGTTGATCGCCCGCACCGAGACGCTGGTGCACCACATCCTGGTGTACGCCTGCGGCAACGCCAGCGCGCTCCCCACCGGCATCAGCGACTGCTACGGCGCCGACCCCGCCTTCTCGCTCTGCTCGCAGGTCATCGTGGGCTGGGCTGTCGGGGGCACCGTGAGTCCCGCCACGGGGAAATACGGAGCGAAGGGGTGCATGCTGTTGGCAGTGGGGATTGCTGGGCTGAGGGAGGACCAGGGGGTGCGCTAGGAAACCAGGGCAGGAGCCCCGGATCCCTGCACCTGGTTCTGCGCCCTCCTTGCTGCCGAATCTCCTTCCTCCAACAGAGTTACCAGTTTCCAGATGACGTGGGCGTCTCCATTGGGACCCCCTTGGACCCTCAGTGGATCCGACTGGAGATCCATTACAGCAATTTTCACAACCTTGCTGGTGAGCGTCCGGAAGATTTACGAAAGTGCAGCTGGTGGGGCGGGCTGGTTCCTTCAGGATTTGAAAGCGTGCAGAGGAAGATTTAACAACCTCAACTTTTTTTTTTTTTTTTTTTGAAGCTCTTACAACAAGAAAATGGAGGGGACACATCTGGGTGGGAGGGGGGAGAGGGAGGAGGGAGGGAGGTTTTGGTGATGGGACACAATAACTAAATACATTGTATATTGACAAAATAAAAAGAAAAAAGAAAAAAAGAAAAAAAGAAAGCGTGCAGAGGGATGCATGCTGACTTGGTCACAGCCCCACCCCAGCTTTCCTGGGCCTCTTTCTCTCCACCTTGTGACCAGCCCTCCTCCCTGCTGAGATTGTTCCTTTCTGCACCAGGTGTGTACGACACCTCAGGGATCCGAGTGTAC